ATCTATTTTTTACTTCTTGAAAAAATCTCAAATCAGTTCCAATTCCAGAATTGTTCACCGATTGATAAAATCGTTGAAAAAACCCAAAAAGTTGAAAATTCGCATGCACAAATCGCAAGATATTTGTCGTTTGATTTTTATCTTCGTACTACTTAAATTTAAAAAAAAATTAAACTAAACTAAATTAAATCAAATTACCCAGCGAAAGCGAATAGTGGCAGAGGCTCTACGCGGTGTGCGTCTTTTAAGCATTTAGCCCCAGTTAAAACCTTTGAAGATGCATACTTAAAATATTAATAAATCAACTAAATAGCTGATTGGTTTATTAGTATAAATACCGACAAAACTAAACCAATTAGATGATTTCGCTTTTCGTTTCGCGAATAAACCGTTTAGAATTCCGGCCAATGTCCACATGTTTGTGTACCGATCCAATAATGACAGTGTAATAGATCTTGTTAATATCGATCATGAATGGATGTAAGAGTGCATGACCCAAAACTGTTAGCCCCTTATTTGTTGCGTAATCAAGATCAGCATAACTGTATTCAGTAGGGTCCGACACCCCAATCGAAGGGATTTCTTTGTGTTGACATTATTTGCAACGAATCATTTTCTATTGCCTTAATGAATAGGGGCGATTTTATCTCTCGTCAGTATTGAGAAGCGAATTTTAATGCTGTTACACTTAATCTTGTTTAGGCGAGTGAAAAAATTAGCGAATCGGTCATGCATACTAATCAAATCCAACTCATCAGCAGTTGATTGACCTAAAAGATGCAATTTTGATCAAATTATTTGTTAACCCACATTGACTAATTAAAGGAAAAGTATGATTATTGTATCCCGAGCAGATAGGAATCGGGGAAAAAATTGTGAATGAAGCTCAAAAGGCTAAGCCGCATAAAACAAAGCGCTATCGCTCAGATCGATCTTCCAAATTAATTAATATAATTGAAAACATGTACGTCAGAAACCTTAAGCGGACAAGTGAATATCGTTTTACTTGTCATTTGTGACCGCCTCGTTATCGGCATCGCACTGCAGCGGATCTAAGGACGTTACGAGGACTTGATATGTTAAAAAATCGCCAGATATTCCATCTTGAGATTGTCGGCTT